GTTTTATCACGAAGGCCTTTGATTTTCAGAGTAAAGAGGAGATGCTCATGACTCTCAGAGCAACTCTGAAGATGTAGGCTAATCAAACGTTTATTATAGACATTGTGGATTTCTTTTTTTGGTGAATATCAATATCGATTTATTGCACAGTCCTACTGTATAAAATATCATAATATTATAATGCAGATTATTGCTTTTAGTACCTGTAATCACAACTATAATATAGTTATAAATGACTCACCTGACCCCTCATTACTGAGACCTGCTTCTTGAACTGTCCTCTGTCGAAACCCGGGTCTTTCTGTCAGTGTTAACGTCAATGCAAAGTCAATACCGAGCATTCATTTCACAGAACAGAAGTCAAACATGTCTGCGAGTCCCCAGCTGAATTCATCTGAATTTCAAAGCAATCTCTGCGACTCACCTTAAAAAGCTCATATAGATCTTCTTCAAGGTCTTTGATGAAGTTCGGGTCGGATAATTTGGGCAGAACTAAATCTTGGATCTCTTGGGAAAATGCAACTTTCGCTTGTGGCAGCCAAGCCCAGTAAAATGGGTCTACAGGAAATACAGTCAACAAAACGATTGAACTGGCCGCAAAAAACAACATCAAATGAAACAAAGCACCTCAGAATACAACGTTGGTATTTAGCACTTATCGAGCATATTGCAATGTGATTGGCCAGTAGTTGGTCATGTGCTTGAGAGGTGGATGATGATTGGCTTACAGGCTCTCCATGAATCTGGGTGTTTGAGAGGGAAGGCCAGACCGTTGTCAATGGCTGCCAGTTTAATGATGGGGTCCTTCACCACCACCCAGTCACTGTCCTGCATGAGAAAAGCATTCGATAAACACAAACATGAGCATAAAAACACAAAAATGGGACAGAAAGTCTCCCAAAAAGGCATCTGGCCACTCACCCTGTTGCTTGATATATCCATCGGACAGTCATATTTGATGAGCCAGTTGTCATTTCCTCGATCTACAGATCCATACAACAAAATAAAGGCAATATATAGTTAAAATGTGTCTTTGGTCATTTCGTTTGACCTTGATTCTGTTGGTTACCTGTGTTTCTGATGATGTAATCCAGCACCACCAGTCTCTCAAACTGTAGCTGGAGTTGGCGATTAGTGTTTTCTGGTAAAGGCTCCGCCTCGAACCGGCGCAGCCAGAAATCAGCATCTTTATACCCCTCCACGAAAAGCTGGAATGAGCCCACCTACAAACAACCAATGTAAACGAGTTCACAAACCTACAACGGCCAATAGAAATCAGTTCACAAACCTACAACAGTGTGTATATACCAACTAATCTTTCCTCAGTTTTTGTTTAGGAATTTACCACATTACCAACCTTGATTTGAACCAAAAAATAGTGTTTGTAAAGGTACAAGAATCTTTTATGAGTGAATTAACAACTCATCCCATTGCGAATGGCATGATCAAATTAGCCATGACGGTAAAACGCTAAACTTGGATTGATTGAGTAAATGAAAGAAAATAAAGATGACAATATAAAAAAAAAAAAAAAA